GGTTCAGGTTTTTAGACTGTTCTCTTGGCTGATTTATTCCATCAATTTGCAGAAATGAGTGAAGTGTAAATTTACTGTTGGGGTTTTTTTAAAATTTTATTTCTTAATTTCTTCTTGAAAAGTTGGGAGTTCCTGCTTTTGCTGGACAATTTAGGAAAAGTCCCTTGCTGTGTGATCAAGGATGACACTAAGAATTTAGCACCTCTCTGTGTGTCAGTGGTACTTGTAGACTGGGAAGTCCAATGGAAGATGCTTTGCCGCAAACCAGTCCGTTTTCTCAGAAGTGTGTTAGGCATTAAGTGATAGTATTGTGCATGTCATAATGATGTATTACAGATGGCTGTAGCTTTGCAGACACATTTATGCCCTAATTTCTGAAAGGTAAAAGTCAATGCAGTCTTGACTAGAAGACAGATACTAAGGCATGCAGAATCAGTGTGATCAGTAATGCTGGTTTCAGTGTCTCTGGGGGGCTGGCCTTGGTTTCCAGATGCCAGACCTCTGCATGCTTTTCTCTACCAGAAGAAAGTCTTTGCTGTGGGGGTACTTGGAGCAATGTAACCCGAGTCCTAAACAGGTCAATCTCTTCCAAGTTTTCTTCTGTAAAATATCTTCTGCAAGATGCATTTTTTTTTTCTGGGCTTCTGTTTTTTCTGGCTTTTATTCCCGCTCCCCCTTTTAAATAAAAAGCCTCTATTCCAGTGTCAGTCTCACACCCTGCAGCATTGCAAGAGTGTTCCTGTGCTGAAAACACAGAACTACAGCTTGTACTAAGTACACTCAAGCTAATTTTAAGAGGTGGTTATTGCACCCTAGGACACCACAGCAAGGGCTTGCAGGACCTCAGTGCAATGTATGGCTGGCCCTGGCCTTCAGTCCTGTGGCTGTCAGTCTTGGGTAGCTTCTCCACTTCCCTACCCCATCCAAAGGTAGGATTGCAGTTTGTGGGTAGTAATTATCTTCTGGGATCTAATTTTCTGCAGGATCCTAAGTGCCTGTCTCTGCTGTCTGCCCTCTTGTATCACAAAGGTCTGCAGGGAGAAGAGGGTTCTGCTTCTGCAGCCTTGCTTGGTGGTTTTGTCACTTTCAAAGTCCTGGGCTAGAACAGGACGAGGTGGCAGTCCCACCACTTCTCTGTGACTTCCTTGCTCTGGGATTTAGTACCTTTTCATAGCAAAATACGTGTTATGACAGTAACCTCTGCTTCACAGCCCTATTGTGTACAGGAAAGGACTTTGACTTCTAAAGTTAATCCACTTCAACTGTGAGAGAGGAAGCTGCCCAAAATTATTTATTAAACGCATTTAGATGCTAAATTGATCTGCGTTCCTTGTCTTCTGCTGGTAAAAAGCATTGGTCTTAAAGCAATTAAGAATATGGTTCACTTTAAAGTAGCTGAGAGATCCCGGAGCTCCTAGTGTGCTCCCCGCTCCGGGCGGCGGGGACTCGCCCTTGTCCCGCTCCCCAGCAGGTGGCACCACGTCACTGCCATTGCGAAACCGGCCGCCCGCGCTGAGGCCTTTCTCGGGTAACCGCGCTGAAGGAGCTGGGGACCGCCCAGCGCCCCCCAGATCAGGTGAGGAGCTGGGAGAATTGCGATGCGGTTCATAACAAATTGCCCAGCAGCTTCCCTCCAGCTCCGCGGAAACGGGATGAGCTGCATTTAAGCACTGCTGAAGGTTGCCTGCCTTGCTGGGAGTGAATCCCGCCATCCCGCAAGGGGCTGCTGCAGCTTCTGCCCGAGAAAACGTTCCTGAAGTAATTTCTTTCCCAGCCGCAACTGCTACAGCGCGTTGCCACAGTCAGTGGCTCACTGAGAGGTGACAGAAGATGCTTACATGGAGTATACCCACCAAAACACTTTTTTGCAGGGGATAGGGGTACAGATTTAAAATCCCGCACAACTCTTGGAACACAAAATGATCGGAACACTGTGAAGTTTTGGTTTTGAGATTAACTGAGGGATGGCAGGTGTGTTACCACAGGTTTACACCCAGATATTTGGAATATAAGTTTGCCCGCTAGAAGAAAGCCTGTCACGGTGCACGGCACATCCAGGCTGTTCCTGAGGTGGGGCGTGGGTGTGCTGGGAGAAGGCCCTGCAGCATGAACCCTGCGGTGGTGACCACTGACGTACTTCCAAATGCAACACAAGTAAGAAATAACATGCTCAGAGGGCACCCCTAGGTAAAGTGCAAATAAATAAACACAGAAAAAATGGGTTTATATTTCAAAGTTGTTTCAACAAACTCACAAATGTTTTTGTTTAGTCTCATGTTTTAATTATTTGTTCCAGACTTTCTGCTTACATAAGTTGCTTGCTTTGGTGCTCAGCTGAGGCTGTGTCTCTTTGTTCAGAAAGTTTAAATCCTTTGAAGTCAAGAGGTTTGAGGTACAAAATGCTATTCTCTTTTGCAATGCTGTGTACTCTTCTGGTAGCAATATATCAGCAATCAGAACCTCAAAGAAGTGAATTACTTAGAGTAAAAATCATTTTATGTGACATTTCAAGGACAATCTGGATGTCCTGCTGCTAGCTGAGAATTTGTATTTGAACAGACACTTTCTACCCAATTTAGAATTAACCAGGCTAAAAACACATTGACCTTCAAGTGAAAAACTTCTAAATCTTGAACTGCAGATTTTTGCCTTGAGTCTGATTCTGTTTAAAGACACTGTATAAAGCAGCTGATCACAGGTGAATTTGGGCCCAAATTCTTCACAGCCCCAAAAATCAATCTGTTGCACTGTCAAGCCAAAAACTGAGCCTTGGCCAGGAGTCGGCTGGTTTGTACCATGTCTCTCTCTCCTGCCTCTATGGGGTCCCTACCTCTGCCAGGAGATACTGCAACCACCCAGAGCCTACATCCTACGTTAGCCAGGGGTGAACTACCAGGCAGCAGGAGAGGAAAGAGCCCCTGCACCACAAAAGCCAAGTTCCTCTCCTGTGTAACCTCTTTCC